CTGTTATTTTTAGGTTTCTAATGTGATGTCGTAAATAATTACATTTTTTCCGCTTACATTGCAAACGCAGGCTGAACCCTACGAGATTTATCAAAATAATGTACTAAGTATTGTACACATTGAAAAGGTCTACAGATTTAAAAATTGCGGGACGTAGCGTTTGCGGCGGTACTGGCTGGCCGGGGCGGCGGGAGCGTGCCTATAAATAGCGCGTCGGAGGCCGCGGTTCTCCCTACAGCACTTTGAATTTAGCAGCGATCGGACGCATTTATTATCGGAGCTCTCTAGCTTTCAGCGCGACAAGGTATCAGTAATTATAAGTAAGTTACGATAAATAATTGTATGATAGTTTTAAAATATAAATGATATTCTATTCTAAGGTTAATTTTTAAATCGCACTTATAGTAATTATAAGTACATAAGGTTAGATAAGATTAGATTAAATAAAACCATAATTTATGGATTGGAATTTTCTATTAAGATCTTGGTTAAAATTTAGAGTTAAATCAATTTAATATTAGGGAAATTATTTTCAAAAATCGTAATTTAAGGTGAGGTATGTAAGTTCAGAAAAAGATTATGAACTGCGATTCATTGTTAAAATATCCATTCATATTTTATACTCGTGCGAAGCCGGAGCGAGTCGCTAGTATTTTATATACTCTTTACAGAGTACAGGTGGGGTGTGTTTAAAATTTTTGTATTTGTGCTGCGATGCGCTAGCACATCGTCTGCGAGAGTATCTGCGCAGTCGCAAAGCGTTACCATGGTTACCAGTTCTTTCTTTACCGTTGCTATTGTTAAAAAATAAATGAAAATGGTTGTTCTAAAGATTTGAAGTTGTGTTTTAATTGTTTATTCGGACCACATTTTTATAAAGTCTGTTTAAAAGGAGAAAGTTTATAATACTTCGCATATTGCATTAGAGTCCCCCAAACTTGACTCCCGATATCTCGACAGCTTTTTAAAAACTTTACGCCAAACAGAGCAAATATTACATATAGTGCATACAATTATTATTTATTTATATGTTTTTTCTGTTCTGATGAAGCGTTCTTTTTATGTAATTTTTGCCGTTTTCGCACTGGGCCATTAATTCTTGGAAAGGCCTGACAATTTCACGATATGTTGCAATACTTGGCAATGCTGTTTGCTTCTTTCGAGGATACAAAGAAAGTCAAGTAGTGGCTGGCCACTGCCTCACATTCCTTTCTAATGTAGCAAAACATTAGGAGACTTCTCTGAAGTTTTATGACTGCATCTTATTGCAAACTAAACTCACACCATTTCATTGCAGATATCGTTCGTCAGATCACATCCAGGAGTATAAATGTTACACATTTTTGGGAACTTTTGATATTCTGTGAAGTGAATATCGTTCGAAAAGAAAACAAACTAACGTGACAATGGAAATGAAACTAGATGCCTTAAAAAGACTGCACAAAGGGGGAAAGTGTAAACAAAATTACCATAGATTTACGTGTTGGATGGACTACTTTGATAAAGTGGAAAAAGAAGAGGTTCGAAATAAAGTCTTGGTCTGTGAAAAAAGCATGTACTGTACATACATGTTTAAAGGAACGAAAAGTATTTTAAAGGTGGTGAATACGAAAAAGTGAGCGAGGCGCTTTATCTGTGGTTCAGACAGCAAAGAGAACAGGGAACAGCCATTTCAGGACTAACTTTACAAGCCCTAAAATTTTATGATGAATTTCAAGGAGTGCCTAGATTTACTGCTAGTGCTGATTGGCTCGGATAGAAAAAGCGGTAAATTTTTTTAAATTCATATACTATTTGTCTCTAGGATCATAATATTCGATTTCTAGAGTTTTTTAGTTAAAACATTATAAAAATAATATTGTGTGCATCAAAGGGTTAAACATTAAGAGTTCTGGAAAATCCACTCCTTATTCCGTAAAACTAGTCAAGTCTCTTGGTCCACATTATGTCAAGTTTGCGAGACTCTACTGTACTATCTTGCAGCTGCAAGTCGATAGTGTTACTGTGAAATATAGTACACCAAAATATTTTGTCATAATACGGAAATTTAATGTAAAAATTGCAAACTAGTCAATACACAACTTTTGCAGGGTAAACCGTTTACATATGATAATTTAAAAAAATTTTATGGTTTTACCATACCATTAACAAAATTCCAAAAAAATTAATGAGTTATTTATTAGCCAATATATAACTTAGTAATGCATTTCAGTTACACACCCCTTCAAAACAAGTGTAAAAAAAATCATTTATAACTATAAATGCAAAAGAAAAGTTCTGTATTTAATGCTATAAACTGTTTTGCACATGCTACAATTTAATGGGGTTTTAAATTTGTAATTAAATTTTTTATGCTTTGGTGTTCGAGAAACCTCACACATTTTCTCAAGCAAATTACAATCTTAAGAACAGCCATACAAAAAGAAAGAATGAGTAAATTGATCAAAATAAATACAGGTCCATAAGAAATACTCTACACTCAAACAAACTGATTTATTTCCTGATTATTACATCTACAACTTGATGATCATATTAAAATATAAACTGTAAGAATAATTTTTATGTAGAAATTATCTGAGAATGATAATCATTTTAAAGTTTTCTTCAGTAAAAATGATAGGCTGCTTTACATCATTCTCTAACAGAGAATAATTTATCTCATCAACAGCATTTCACTATTTTCAATATACGACTACACAATATTGTATTGTGCATATTATAATACATCATTTAGTGTTTATGTGAGTTTATATACTGTTCACAATTTTTATTTTAAATTAAAATCTTAGGCTAAATAAAGATAATTAACTTATTTTTCATGATAATGAGAACTTTTAATCATTAAAACTGATTTTTAAAATGCTGGGAAATATGAAATATAATTACAAAATGCTTGTGAACCAAATTATAAAAGCAAATGTTACAGACATAATAGTCGGAGAAATTAAAAAAAAATTAACTTCATTTATATATATATACACTATTTAATAAAAATATTAAATGACTAAATTTCAGAATTCTGTGCCCTAAAATGATGTTGAAAATTACCTGGAAATAATTTTAATTTCAATAATAAATTTTGAAGCATGCAACATATTTTATATTCCCTTAACTACAAGGACTGATAACTTGCTCCATTTATTTATAGTTAGTATATAGGTATATTCTTGGTTGAATGATATCACTAAAAATTTTTTTTAAATTTATCTTTTCATTAAATGAAGATAATTTAACATAAAAGAATAATATTTTTAATACTAATTTAAACTGAGAAAGGAATTACATAATTCATTAACTAAGTTTAAATGAGAAAATCTGAAAAATATTAGTGTTTTCATTATACATGTACTTTCTACAAGATAAAAAAAAAAAAAAGTGCACACTTGCAAAATAGTTTTTACTTCATTTGTGCAAGATCTTTCATGTACTTTCCAAATCAGTTATCACCACTCAATGACAAATTCAGAGCTCATCTTTCTTGCATAAGCAAGCAAAGCAGCATTTATACCAACTATTATATTTATTATAGTTGGCCACTGGTGCAGTTGAATCTATTTGATAATCTGAAGGTAGGAATGCAGCATGTTGGTGATTGTGCCAAAAAATATGAGAACTGTATTATATTGAATACAGGAAGTATTTTTCCCTCCAAATTTCATCAGTGACAGATGCTTCATCATTTTAAATTATGAATTTAATTTGGGAGATCTTAAAAATTAAGCAAATACAGTACAAAGTCCGAGATCCGGACTCGTCCTAATCTAAAGGGTATCAAAATTTACACACACACACACACACACACACACACACACACACACCCACACACACACCACACACACACACACACACCCACAAAAAAAAAAAAAAAAAAAAAAAAAAAAAAAAAAAAGAGAGAGAGCTTATTATCTATATGTTTATTAAACATTTGTTTTAACGTGAGTTGTTTAAATTGCATTTATTTTTGTGCTAATACTTTCTCTTTAATTCTATAGACAGATATAATTTCTTATTCAGTTACTATGTTCCACTGTTCAAGTCCTGTAATTGCTGTGTCCAGAATTCTGTCTAAATTGTCAATCGGATTTTTTTTGTTTTCAATAACATCTGTCACTTTCTTCCCTCTCAGTAACGGTATTTTCTGGATCTAGAACCATACCACAGATTTCACCGTCCGTTAATTAATTGATGATTGGGACATTTTCACCTCAATGAAAATTTCTGTTAACTCTTCTTCTTCCCTAAATTCTGCTGCCCGGTGCGGTCATGCGAGCTCTGACGCCAGTTCTAGCTTTATGTGAGTAACAAAGTAGTTATTCTTAATTTAAATAACACTAAATGTAATCTTTTAGCCTATGTAGTATTTAGTATCATTAACAATATCTATTTCTAGCATACCGAAAGAAATGTTTGTTAAGTCTTTCCTCATCAACATTTCCTAGGGTATTTATCTTAAATATGTAATCGGCTCCAAGCATAATGTCAACAGAAAAGGTTACCATACTCTTTTTTTTTTTTATTCAATTACTAATATAAAAAAATTGTTTAGGCATTGCTGCAAGAGCCAATACTCAAGTTTTCATGTGTTGATAAACATGCAGTGATGAAAGCAAAATATAAATAATAATTTGCCAGGTTGGTGTCAAGGATATAGAATATATGTTATGTAAAATCAACAATGTTTCTATGTAGAATGTTTTGGTTCGAGATGTATGCCAAGCAGATACTCAACTACGGAGTCAAATTTCTGATCACACAAATTTATGCTAAAATGATTAATTACTTCTTCAAAAATGTGGTATTTTATTTAGTGAAATGAGATTAAGAATTGGGACTCTCCGCACGTTTTATTATGAGGGGGTGATGCGCATGCATGAAGCATAAGCCTCCAAAAAAATTGGTTGGTGGTGGCTTCGAGGTCCGGATTTTAGATTATTCCATATATTGGACATCCGGATCTCAGGCTTTGTACTGTAAAATCTTATTAAACATATAAACTGCCATAGTGTAAAAACTTGTTTTTATTTGATTAAAGAAATTGCAATCATTTGAAAACAGTGAAATCTCAAAGAAATTTTTGACATGCGATTTATTCAATAAAATAAATGGGAAAAATGGATTATGCTCCAATGAACATGAAAATTTATGAAACAAATGTTATTAGATGTCTAAACAATCTGCAACAAGGAATTTCATTTCTTCATTTCATCTTCTAAAATAACTTTTGGGAAAATATTAAATAATTCTGTGAATTGGTCTAATGGCAATCTAGTACACTGATCGCCTTTGTCCATTAAAACTGTCAAAGCACTTAAATCAACTGGTTCAGGTTTTTTACCATAATTAGAAAAGCCAGATTCTGGAATGGAAGGTTCTGTGTATTTCACTTCAGCAGCAGAGGCTGATGATGATAAATTGTTGGAGGAAACCGACACTTTATTTTCACTTTTTCCAGCATCAAAACCAAGTGTTTCCTGGCAATATTTTACAGGTAAATCTTTGTGGAAAACATCATGATGTTCTTTTAACTTGGTAGCAAATTCAAAACGTTTATTACAATAAAAACATAACACCCTTGTCTTGTGTTTATTCTTCAAGTGATTTTCTAGATGGCATTTTTCTCCAGTAAACTGGCAAAACTCACATTTATAAAATTTTGCAATTCCTGATTCACCACATGTGTACTTTTCATCTAACCGTGAATGAGTTTGTTTGCTATGTGAGATAATCTGCTCCTGAGATGAAAAGGCTGCTCCACAATGAGAACATACATAGACAGTGCCTTCAAATTTTACTTTTTTGTTGGGTAAATTTCCCGTATCAAGACTTCGTTTTGCAGCAACTCCTTGAAAATCTCCAATATATTTTTGAGGTAGAGATGGATGACAAGACATCATATGTCGCTTCAGATCACCACGGCTTTCTAATCTAAGATAGCAATGTGCACAAGCCATGATTGCTGACCGTTCCCGATTTTGAGTAAGATAACCCTTTACCTTAAACTGCATTTCGGAATGCATCAATTCAGCATGCTTTTGTAATGCAAATAAGTTTTCTTTAGATGATTTGCAATAAGCACATTCATAAATATCTTTATCATCTGCCGAGAATTTAATTGTAGTGTCTGGAGAATAATAATAAAAGTAATCCGCTTCCTCTATCACAGGATGCGTACGCTCCATGTGATCCTCAAATTCTTGAAGAGAAGTGAATTTCTTGACGCAGAAACCACAACGGTATCTTTTGGCTTTAGCACCTTTGTTCTTCGCTTCTGAAACCATTTTAATACTATCATTTGAATTATCATCGCATATGACTTTGGAAGCTTCATCCTCGGTTTCTTTACGCAATATTTTCTTAATATCTACACTGATATCTTTGTGAACACTTTGTACATGGTTCAGAACAACAAATCTATGGGTAGCTTCAAATGAACAACTACTACAGATGTAAAATTTTGTTTGAGAGTTGTCTTCTTGACCTTGCTCCCAATTAATATTGTTGTTTTGCAAAATCTGTTTTAAATACTTCAGCCTATGTTGCTGTAGCAATTTGCCTATATTTTCATCTATTTTACTACTGGATACTTTACAGAACAATAAAGGATTAGGTGAATGATGCTCATCAATATGATATTTCAATGCCTTTAAGGAGAAAAAACTGTCTTGGCAATATCCACAATCATACGATCGATACTGCTTGCGCAAACAATAGTATAAATGTAACTGCCACTGAGTTAAAGACTGGAATTTCTTACTGCAGATAGGACAACATTCACTAGTTTTTACATCTGGATACGATATTTTAGGCCCCAGCAAACTTTTGACACAATTTTCTATTTCAAAATTTTTATTAGTAGTGCATTCTACATTTACTTTAGGATGTACAGAAAGGAAATGGTCTTTCACCTCTCTCCTACTAACACAATTTTTGTTACAGATACTGCAGGAGAATCTACTGTATTCTATTTCTCTATACATATGATTTTTCATTACTTTCCGATTACTACTTTTGTATCTGCAAAACAAACATTCAAAATGAATATTACCGATTTTAAATGGGCATTCACGTGGCAGGGATAGAATAGACGATACTTTCCCTGCATTCTCTGAAGATTCTCGTATTACAACTACCTGAACATCTACACCCAAATGATTTGTTAAATGTACCTCAACTTGCTGTTTATCTGAATGATAAAAAGAGCACCCTGTGAAACCACAAGCATACAAATTAGGACCATGGCACTGCAAGTGGTTCTTAAAGGAGTTCCAAGTTTCCATAATTTCTGGGCAATGAGGACAAGGAAAATTTGTAGCAGCATGAATATTTCTAAGATGCCCAATATAAGTCAAAATATTCTCAACTTTATCTTCGCAGCCAGGAACACCACAGTACAGCTCCGAAAAAATATTCTCCAACTCTTTTGGGTAAAGCATGCCACCTACATTAACATATAATTCACTTTCAAAGCTTTGCTGAGTTTCTTCCTTTGATACACTTATTTCCATTGGAACTGGAGAATCAGCCTGGGTGTCAGCACATTCTTCTTGAGAATTATCTGAAACAGCTTTGGCAGGTTTGTCTAAAGCTTGATTGCGTTCAGGTCCTACAGAAACTGGTATCTTCATTGCCTCAGATGAAGCTTCTTCCTCAGAACCTCGCATATAGGCCATAAGAGGCTGGTCTGCATGAGCATTAGAAAGATGTAACATTATCTCATCCTTTGTTTCAGATCCATGAATACAATAGCTACACTGAAATGTGTTGATCCCATGAAGCCGGTAATGGTTCATTAGTCTCTTTAAAGAAATAAAATCAACATGACAATAATGACAAAAGAATACAGAAACAGTTCTATGAGCTACATCATTATGATTCTTGAACTCTTTGGGATCAAATGTTTGAAAACGACAGTCGCCAATAGCACATATAAATGGCCATGTAGTATTCGATAATTCATTACTCTCAGATGGTTTTAAATCACTAGGGAGCTCAACTATTTTGCATGTGTATACTTCTGTACCTGTATCTTTAGCATGATAATTCTTTATATGAATTTGTACATGAATTTTACTAAATGCTCTGTAAAAGCAATTGCTACACTGATACTGACGTTTACCATGTTCAACTAACATATGCTCAGTAAGTGACTTGCCACAGAAAAATTCACTTAAGCAATAAGCACAATGCATTCGTTTCCCTTTGTGGTTTACATTCAAATGCTCTAAATATTGAATTCTATCATCTGTTGTAAAAGAACAGTGATATAAAACACATTTAAAAAAATGCTTTAATTTTTCTTCACTTCTCATAGCTACTAAATCCTTTGGAGATTTTAACTCAGCAAATTTTTTAAATTTTGAGTCCTTTGAACTTTTGTCATGAATTGCAGCTTGATATGGAATTTTAACATTTTCTGATTTATCAGTTGTTGGATCAACAATATTTACTTCTGAAATATTTTTTACAACTACGTCCACATTTTCATCACTATTTGATGGTTTGGAATGATTTTCACCTTTCTGGAGATCAGAACTAGTCGTCGCATCAAGTGAATTTTCTTCTGTAATTACAAGTGGCTGGTCTTTTACACTTGATGCAGGAGCTGGACTATGTTTTCCAGCTATAGTATCAGCATTACTTTCAACTACTGAAGACATTACATTGGTCAATTTTCCCTTTATATGATCTTCAAAATGTTCCAAGAATAATTTTGTGCTTTCAAATTTTAAATGGCAAACCAGACATGCATTTTTATTTGCAACTTTATGGTTTGCAATATAATGATCTTCCAGAACTGACTGAAATGCTGCCATGAAATCACAACATGGACAGTTCAGCATCTTTTTAACATTCAGATCTGCTAATGAAAGTGTTTTCTTTGGAGTTGGAATGGGCTTTCCAGTTAAGGATGGCTCAACATTAATAACATCATTTACTTTTTTGGCCCAACGACCAGAACGCCTTAAAGTTGCTGATCCTAAAGTTTCATCTGGACGCCATGAAGGATCATCAGGATCTTCCTCCGATTCACTACTTTCTGATGGTGGTCTACCACGTCCTCTCCCTCTGCCTCTACCTCTCCCACGGCCTCGGCCAGACACAATACTACCACGAGCATGAGTCATTGCAGGAGCTATAGGTCTGATAGCACTAGGTACTGAAGCCCTTGGTATAGAAATAGTTGCTGGAGTTGGTAGTCTAGCAGCAGTATTAACAACAGGAGGAGTATACACAGGCTTCTGAGGGGCAGGAATGTTTGTTGTAGAATCAGCTTCAACTGGTGCACTACCTGGATTTCGTCTGTTTCTATCTTTAAAAGGGCAGTCATCTTGCATATGCAAAATTAAACAGTGAGGCAATGTAAAAATTTTTTGGCAATGTACACAAAATATAAATGGACTTCCCTTGTGGCAGTGACGCAGATGATGAACAAATGTCTGCCCACTAATTGTTTCAAAGACACAATCCTTGACACCACATTTATAGATCATTTCTTCTTTAATGCAGGCCCTCTCTTTGATGTGAGACACAAGAACGCCTGCATTACTAAAACATTTGCCACATAATTTACACCACATTGATAAATCTGTTCTATGATCTGTACGAGCATGTTTCATAAATTCTGTTTCATCTAAAGTCTGGTATTGACAAGAAGCGCATGCAAATGTTATTGGTGAATTTGATGACTTTTCATTTGAAGCAGGCTGTGTTTGTTGGACAGGAGCTGTGACAGGATTACTTGGGGTTGCAGGCTTTATTACTACAGGCTGTGAGGTAATTTTTGGTTTGCTGATATTGTCTGGTTTTTCCTTCTTGATTTGTGAGATGGGAATTGGAGTAGTTGGCAAGCTGTCAGAACTTCCTAATGATTGATTTGATCCAATACTCCGAACTGAGCTTATGGAAAGTCTAGTGCTAGCTTCAGAACTAGTTTCTGAATCCGTAGCAGCTCTTTTTGAGGGCACAGAATTATTTTCTGGAGCTACATAAGGATAAAATATATTCAATAAATGGTATGAGAAATATATGTGAAGAAATAACAAAATTTACAGATACTATTCAGATACTGAAAATAATAATAAAATAAATATGAAGCGCATTAATTATATAATGATACACACAAAATCAATGGCCATAATTAGCAATTTATGGGGGGGAAAACATAAGAGGGTAAGTCGAAAACTAACCGCACTCTTGTCATAATATATCTTTATAATTGTTACACTCTCTTCTGCATATAACATGCTTTAAGTTGCTACGGAAGGGTCCCGCAAACTCAACAACATTTTACGAAGTTTTTTAAGATATCTCTACATCAAACAGAGCAAATATTATATACAGTACATATTACAACAAAACATTACTATTTATGTCTATATCTTTTCTGTTCAAAGAATCGAGTGTTCTTTTCTGTAATTTTTGCTGTTTTTGCATTGTGCCATTAATTCTTGGAACTGCAAAACAAATTTCAAGACATGTCGTAATACTTGACAATGCTGTTTGCTTCTTTCGAAGATATGAAAAAAAGTCAGGTAGCAGCTGGCCACTGGCTCACAATCCTTTCTATTGTTGTAAAACTCTAAGAGACCTGTCTGAAGTTTTGTGACTGTATCTTATTGCAAACTAACATCGAACTCATTGCAGGTACTGCTCTTCAGTTCACATCCAGGTGTATACGTGTTAACATATTTTTGGGAACTTTTGATATTCTGTGAAGTAAAAAGAAAACAAATTAACGTGACAATAGAAATGAAGCTAGATGCCTTAGAGACTGGACAAAGGGGAAAATGTAAACAAAATTACCATGAATGAACTACTTTGATAGGGTAGAAAAAGAAGAGGTTCGAAATCGAATCTCAGTAAGAACATGTGCAGATAGTTTAAAGGAAAGAAAAGTATGAAAGGTGGTGAATTGCTTGTGCTGGCTTGCTCGACAGATGGAAATAGTGGTACGGCATCAGGTAGTTCCACGTTTGTGGGAAAAAGCTATCTAACTTAAAATGCTGCAACATTCAATGACAATTTCCACAACTTAATTGAAAAGGAAGGTATATCTGGAGAACAAATTTTTAATTGTGATGAGACCGTTCTGAATTTTTGAATGCTACCTTGGAAAACGCTGACATCTAGGGAAGAAAAATCGGCACCTGGCTACGAAAGAAGGAAGAAGAGAGTCACAATCCTGGCATGCAGCAATGCAACAGGCAGCCATAAGCTCAAACTAATGCAAAAAAAAAAAAAAAAAAAAAAAAAAATCCCCAGACATTTAAAAACACAAAAAAGGACACTAATGGAATTGAAACTAACTATGATCTTCCTGTTTGGTACTGGAATCAGTCAAACACATGGACAAATGAAGCTATATTTATGATCGGTTTCATCAGCAGTTCATTTCATCGATGAAAAAGTTTTTAAAATAAGAAATTTTACAAGGAAGGCAATTCTCATTCTAGACAATGCCTCATCCCATCCTGATGCAGAACAGTTATGAGATAAAGATACAAGAGCCATGTTTCTCCCTCCTAAAGTAATTCCAGTGTGTCAGCTGATGGACCAGGGGATTTTAGAGGCATTGAAGAAAAAATGCAGACAGAAGCCTCTTTTATCTCTTGTCCTAGCCACGGAGGAAGGGTATAATATGATTGAGAAACTGAATAAAATAGATATGTTGGATGGATAGCTCATTCTTAGAGTGAAATTGAGCAGGTAAGCCTTGTTCATTCCTGCAGAAAGTTGTTGGACCATTCAGAAACTAATTTTCAGAAAAGCAGCAGAAAAGAGACAGAAAATTGTGAAATAGTTAACTTACTTCAGAAAATTCCAGGCTGCGAAGAAGTTACTGATGGAGAACTGTCGAAATGGCCAACGTTATTCTAGACAGTTCACTGTACTTTAAAATTTCATTAGCATCTTTCAGTTTTCCAATTAAACTCCAATGGGTGTCAATCCTTGCTATCCAAGTTTTCTAACTGTAAACTGCAAACCTACGACTACAATTTATCCATTGCAACATCACATCAATATAATAGTCTTTTAAAATTAAATGAAGAAAAACTGGAAACCTATTTAAATAATACCTTATGCATGTGCTACAACAAAACATCTGCAACTCTGCATGTAAAATCACTTCATGATTGATTGGAAATTTATGAAGTATGCTATCACGTTCTCAATGCAATCAAAAACTGAAGAATTATTTTGCATAACCATTTAACAACTGCAGCCATTTTTATCCTAGCACTTGAGTATTTCCTGGCGATTTTGTAATTGGAAATTTTTTTTTTAATAAATAAACCTACAGCATGATCCAATGCATTCAGTGGCAGGTTGTGCTCAGTAAACTATCACATTTTTTTTAAAAAATTACATTCCAATAACAATGCACAGTAATATTATCATTATACAATAAAAGACTTTCATTTCTACTGTCCTATGAATTTCATTTCACCTATTCAATTCATTGCTACTCCTAAGGTCTTAAATCATCCATAAATAATTAGACCAGGTGAATGTGCAGACGTCTCAGCGAAATCATAGACTTAATGTCAGTTCACGTTTGCTTCACTGTGATTGGTCCTTTTTTTGTAATAGTCTGGCATTAAGTTCAACAGTTAGATGGAAAATGTTCGGCATGATCTTCACAGGTAGGTTATGAGGGTTTGTTTTTGTTAGTAAGACGAAAATAATCACTATGAGATGAATCCATTTTAAAATTTAGAAGAGCTTATTTTCTAAAGCTGAGGGGGAGGAACCAACAAGGAAATAATCGTACTTGTCAATACCTTCTCATAGGAAAATAAGTTAAAACAAGACTGAAGATAATATTTTACTTTCCCTAGTCCTAGTAAGGTTAATAAATATGCAAATACAAAAATGTAGAACAGAAGATATCCTACAGTTTGAAACACTCAATAATCTGGCACCTACGTAAAAACCACCATCAGGATTCAGCAATATTCAAAAAGGCTTGGTGATTGCTTCACATCGTTACTATTTTCAGTTAGACCTTCATTTAAAATCTCACATTTATATATAATTTTTACCACAACCTGGATATTAATAGACTAGATGGCCGAGGGGTGGTATTCAACCAAAGTTTTGGAGTTTGACCATTTGGATAGTGCACTGCATAAATGATTCAGTGTAGACATCTCAACGTTAGCCTGTAATAGGATCTCAGCTAAGCAACTTTACCAAGAGATGCAATTTTCAAAAGAAAGCTATTTGTTTTCAGATAAGAAAAATGATCAAAATCTATAAAATAAAGCAGGTACATATTTATACTTACCTGAAGAGATTTCCCGCACTAGCAATAATGATTTCAAAGCACAAATCAATTAAATATAATTAAATTATGAATAAATTTACTTAATTAGGTTGGCCCATTCAATATGCTTGCAGAATGATTATATGCAATTTTCTTTTATTCCTCACTTTGTTCAATATCATGAAAAAATCCTTTTGTGACATTACCATTTTCGTTTGATAATCTGACACCTAAATGAGCCAGATTTATCAGATTTTTACCAGCACTATTTATAGAATACTCCATTTGTCCAAAAGTCAGTAACAGTTGAATATGGCCAATAACTGCCATTCTTTGCACTCCTCATATTTTGACATACCATTGAGCCACCACATCACCAATTCAACCAAAAACCAATAATAGTAAGCATCATAGTCAAGATTTATTTTAAGTACTAATTTCTGACAAAAACCACCTTGAAAGAGGGAGGGGGAGATTCCCGTAACATCAGAGAAAGAAATCAATGTTACAATGTATTATGATAATGCTGACAGTTGTAGAAGCATTTTATGCAAAATTAGACACCTGTAAACTGTATTTTATATGATTTGCTTTTCAACTAACAAGTCAAGAAATACTAATTCAGAAGTCAAACAACAAAAATCAGCGTTATATTTTCAAAAATTTCACAGGACTAGTTTCAATGGTTTTACCGAACCACCATCCTCAGCTGCAAACCCGCAAATCAACAAGATAGGAAATAATGATTAGATAAGATAAGAAAGCCTGTACAAGAATAAGCAAGTTGCGCCATCTGTTGGTGAAACCAGAACTAAAACATAATTTCTCTAAAAGCCGAAGGCAAATTTGGATTGGAATTAAGATCGTTAACTAGAACAGAAAGATTTTTATGAATGTGAAATGCCTCTAGAAAATCCAGTTCTCCAATGGAAGATGTTTTTTGAATAATTTTGGCAGCAGAAAAATTGAAAGTGTGATTTTCGGACCAACAATGTTGAGCAACAGAAGACTTCTGTGTTTCCTTTTTTCTAACATATGCCTCATGTTCCTTGACGCGCGAAATTTTAAGGCTCTCTTAGTTTGGCCAATGTAAATTAAACCACACTGGCAAGGAATCCTATAAATACCCCAGGAATTCATATCCGGAATGGGGTCCTTGAGTATGGAACTTGGAATTTTATTGATGGGAGAATAAACAACCCGAAAGTTAAATTTCTGCAAAATATGTGCAACTTTATAGCTAATTGATGGAAAGAAGGGAATGACAACAGAATTTTTATAATCTCCTAAAACAAGAGTGTGCCTTTTAGTGTGTTGAGATGAGAATTTTTTAACTGCTTGATTAATAATGTTGGGGTGAAAAGCCCCTGTCAATAGCTATTGCTTTTAAATAATTTAGTTCTTCATCAAGGGCTAGTTTGGAGGAGCAAACTTGAAGAGCACGGAAAACATAGGAATAAAATGAAGCTAACTTTTGTTTAGTCGGATGACATGATTTAAAGTGTGGTGGAAGGCAAACCGATGAAGGTTTACGGTAAACTAAACTGTAGTACTGAAGTTGGATGTGTTACGTGTGACCAGAATGTCGAGAAACGGAAGAGAATTGCAAGTCTCAAGTTCAAAAGTGAACTGAATAGCAGGATCAATAGAATTCATTGTTGAAAGAACTCTATTTAAATCATCTTTATTACCTTCAAACAGGGTAAAAGTATCGT